CTGTCCATTAACTTATGGCCATTATTCCTTGTTACTCCCAGTAGTGCTCAGGGGAACAGGGACTCTCCCATTGCCTGCTGGTCTCCCTTGGCTAGTTTATAGATGGCCGCCAGATCCCCTCTTAGCCTTCTCTTGTGGAGGCTGAACAGGTTCAGATCCCATAGCCTCTTCTCGTAGGGCGTGCCCTGCTGCACCCTGATTCTGCGAGTGGCCTTCCTCTTGACCCTCTCAATGCTGTCCACATCCCTCCTGAAGTGTGACACCCAGAACTGGACGTAGTACTCCAACTACGGCTTGACCAATGTCATATAAAGGGGGATGATCACCTCCTTGGCCCTGCTCATGATGCATCTGTGGATGCATGACAAGATGCGGTTAGCCTTCCTGACTGCATCCCCACATTGGCGGCCCATGTTCATCTTGGAGTCTATAATGACTCCAAGATTCTTTTCTGCCTCTGTGCTGATGAGAGGGGAGTTCCCCAGCCTGTAGGTATGCTGCTGGTTCTTCCTCCCTAGGTGCAGGACCTTGTACTTGTCAGTATTGAATCCCATCTTGTTCTCATCCACCCACCCCTGTAACCTGTTCAGTTCCAATTGCAGCCTGTCCCTCCCTTCTAGCATGCCCACTTTTCCCCACATCTTAGTGTCATCCGCGAATTTGAACAAGGTGCTTTTCACCCCCTTGTCCAAGTCTCTGATGAAGATGGTGAACAGTGCAGGCCCAGTGACCGAGCCACTGCCCACATCCCTCCAGGTCGAAAATCACCCGTCTACCACCACTCTCTGCGTGCGGCCCTCCAGCCAATTGGTGACCCATCTGACTGTGTAGGCATCGGCACCACAATCTCCTAGTTTTTTAATGAGAATGGGGTGAGAGACAGTGTCGAAGGCCTTCCTAAAGTCCAGAATCTCATTATTCATTTGCGCCAGTGTTGGGAGGAGCTTGTAACTAGCTTTGCTGACTCATCTCCTTGCTTTCCTAGTCCTTGACTGTAGCACTGTTCTCATGGCAAACCTGCTGACCAAGCTATACCTTGTTAATTGACTGTAGTGTAGACTCCAGCTCATGCTCCCCAGTCTGGCCATGCCCACACAACAATGCAGGTATTATGCAGTATAATGTAGTTCTCCCTTGTAGGAACCCAACTTCAGACAGTTCCTATCAGGGCAAGGAAACAGAAAACAAAATACCAAGCACTTGGGTGCAGGAAATGCTGGAATGCTGAATATATGGGGCTTTATCCAAGAGAAATGTGGCAGGTCCAACTCTCATTGCTGCTATTTTAGGTTTTCCTCAGATACATCAGTTTGTACTAATGTCCAACTGCTCCACAGAGGTGGTAAGGTGGTACAATCAGGAGACTCCATTGCGAGGGGGGCTGAGAATGACAAACAGGTTGAACCACTTTTGGTGCGGTGCCATGGCTGGGACCAACAAGCAGCTCTCTGTCACTCCCAGGTGCTATGACACACCACAGGAGTCTCCAAGGGCTCCAGTGGTTAGGTTGTGTTTTATTTAGGTTGTAAAGTATTACTGTGCAACTAGTCAGAAAACTTTCTAGCTTGTAGTATGTTTACTGTGATCTAAATAAAATATGTCCTAAGTATAACATGCAGCAAGAGCCCCAACCACCTGCACACAGCTTAGGAGCAGGATCCATGGCTCTGCCTCGCACAGACACACACAAGGACATTGAGGAAATTCTGCTTAGCTATGTAGAGCTAGGAGTACTGAATGGTATGCTCTGGCTTACAGTAAAACTAGAGAGCTGGTAGCCTCAAAAGGAAATGAAAATGCTTTACCCCCATGATAATCATTGGAGATATTGATTTCTTCTGTCCTGGGGGATTTTTTCCTTAGCTGAGATTGAGCTGTGGCATTGGCCAATGAAAGTATCTCCAAATGACCACTGTAAACTGGAGCAAAGAGTCCTCTGCCCAATAATGATCAGTGAAGAAGTCACCTTTTCATAGTGTCTCTTTCTCTCTCATCCAAAATGAGGTACCAGTTTTTTTTCCATTTGTTTTGGAATCTATCCTGACCATGTGTTAGTGTCATCATGGTAGCTCTATGATCATTACTGTTGTGACTACTGTGTTCTCTGCATGGAGAAAGAGAGGTGTTCTCAGGGTCTGGAAAGAATACCCAGGGGATGACTTCTCCATCCTTCCTACCAGTGCTACTACAGGTCTGGACTACATAACTGGAACCTACCTGTCCCCAACGTTATCAAGTTTTACCATCTCCCATGTGGGTTACCACATCTTTTACTGTTTCATAAAGCAAGGATTGGGCCCTCTGTGATCATTCACCATTATCTCAAACATAAATTGTGCTTGACTTCCACACTCAGAGAAAGCAAAACATTTTGACTTAAATTCAGTTTGCAAAGCAGGTGTACTTGGAAGCTATTTTTTAGATACTGTCCTAAAATACAAAAAGTCTGACAAGTGAAAGTTGCAAGGTTGTTTCCACATTTTGACTGTGAATGAAAGTGCTGATCATAATGAGAGCATTACTAAACTTCAGATTCAAAACTAATATTGGAATGCATTCACCTTACTGAGAGTGCAGGAACAAGCCATCCTGGTGCACAGGAAGACTAGCAAGTATGGCAGAAGACCAGCTTAACTTAGCAGGGAACTCTTCAGTAAACTAAGTCACAAAAAGGAAGCTTATAAGAAGTGGAAACTTGGACAAATAAACAGGGAGGAGTATAAAAGCATTACTTTGGCATGCAGGGAAAAAGTCAAGGCCAAAATGCAGTTGGAGTTGCAGCTAGCAAGGGATCTGAAGGGTAACAAGAAGGGTTTCTACAAGTATGTTGGTAGCAAGAGTAGGATCAAGGAAAGTGTGGGTCCCTTACTGAGTGGGGGAGCCAACCTTGTGACAGAGGATGCAGAAAAGCCTGAAGTGCTCAATGCCTTCTTTGCCTCAGTCTTCACAGGCAAGTTCAGCTCCCAGACTACAGCACTTGGCAGCACAGTTCGGGGAGGAAGGTGAGCAGGTGGCAAAAGAACAAGTTAGTGATTATTTTGAAAAGCTGGACATGTACAAGTCCATAGGGCTGGACACGATGCATCGAGTGTGCTGAGGGAGTTGGCTGATGAGATGGCAGAGTCATTAGCCATTATCTTTGAAAATTCATGGTGATCAGGAGAGGTCCTGGATGACTGGAAAAGGGCAAACATAGTGCCCATATTTACAAAAGGGAAAAAGGAGGATTGAGGGAACTAGAGACCAGTCAGCCTCACCTCCGTCCCTGGAAAAATCATGGACCAAATCCTCAAGGAATCCATCTCAAAGCACTTGGAGGAGAACAAGGTGATCAGAAACAGTCAGCAGACACTAGATATGCTGGAGGTTAGGGCTAGGATTCAGAGTGACCTGCACAAATTGGAGGATTGGGCCAAAAGGACTCTCATGAGGTTCAACAAGGACAAGTGCGAAGTCCTGCCCTTACGACAGAACAATCCCATGCACCACTACAGCCTGGGGGCTGACTGGCTGGGTAGCAGCTCTACAGAAAAGGACCTGAGGGTTACAGTGGAAAACAAGCTGAATATGAGCCAACGGCGTGCCCTTGTTGCAAAGAAGGCTAATGGCCTACTGGGCTGCATTGATAGAAGTGTTGCCAGCAGGTCAACAGAAGTGATTTTTCCCCTCTATTCAGCATTGGTGAAGCCACATCTGGAGTACTGTGTCCAGTTTTGGGTCCCCCACTACAGAAAGCATGTGAACCAATTGGTGAGAGTCCATTAGAGGGCAACAAAAATGGTGAGGTGGCTGGGGAACATGACTTATGAGGAACGACTGAGGGAAATGGGCTTATTTAGTCTAGAGAAGAGGAGACTGATGGGGGATTTAATAGCAGCCTTCAACTACTTAAAGGGGAGTTTACAAGAGGAGGCAGCTAAACTGTTCTCAGTGACGGCAGATGTCAGAACAAGGAGCAATGATCTCAAGTCACAGCAAGGGAAGTTTAGGTTGGATATTAGGAAGAATTTTCTCACTAGGAGGGTAGTAGAATAGGTTACCCAGAGTGGTGGTGGAATCTCTATCCTAGGAGGTTTTTAGGACCTAGCTAGACAAAGCTTTGGCTGGGTTGATCTAGTTGGGGATGGTCCTGCTTTGAGCAGGGGGCTGGACTAGATTACCTGCTGAGGTCCCTTCCAACCCTCATTTTCTATTATTCTATGATTCAGCCATTACTTTGGAGGCTTTTTCTGGCATAACAATATTTTTTCATTGTGAAAATCAAATTCCATTTGTAATAGTCTGTGATGGAAGTACCTCTGAAAGGGCTAATTCATGAAATAACAAGGGAAGTGCAATCTATCTTTTTTATGGGACAATCTCAGATACCCAGCCATCAGGCTACAGTGCTTTCATTCACTTTCACTGAGGTGTTAACACCTTGTCATGGGAAGTGCCCAGATCAGATTTTTCTGCACAATTCACAGATCTGCTTCACAACCATTTTGTTAAGAAAAGTCCCATTTTTTTCATTTAAAAAAATGGATCTTGTATCTGTGACACAACGACTCTTTGGCCTTACTACTTACAAGTTACATGCCTGAAAGAGCTTCAGGATTTTTAGTTTGTTTAAAATTTTCTATGAAAGCTAGAAGTGTCTTAAGTTATTTTTGCAGCCATCCTACTGGAATAATGGGGTGGCAAATATCTCACTCAGCGCAGAGTTTGCAGTAGAGGCCTCAGAAGGTACTGTTGCTATCCTCACCAAAAATGTAGGGTACAAGTTCTCACTTGGGGCATAACAGTACCACATGTAAAGTTCTCTGAGGATGCAGGCATCCATCAGACAGATACTGCAAACTATAAGGACTCAAAAGGTGAAAAAAGTTTTATTTGGTCATTATAAAGTTTTTAAAGCCTTGTTTGTAAATGGAACCAGAAAAAATGTAATCAGAAAAAAATGTGCAAGACCCCAGATGGAATAGAGATTATAATGCACACTTCTGTTTTTCTGCTTTCAGAGGCTGGCAACAAGAAGCTGAAAAGCACGATACAAAGAAGCACAGAAACAGGAATGGCAGCAGAAATGAGGAATCGTATGGTTCGGCAGCCAAGTCGGGAGTCTACTGATGGCAGCATAAACAGTTACAGCTCTGAGGGGAAGTAAGTGGAATTATAATTATGTAGTGATGTAGAAGTATATGTGAGCTTCTTAGCCTTATAAGAATGCTAGTCAAACTCTCATAAGAGAACCTGGTTTGTAAGTAATAGTGCCCAGTTTAGTTCATTTGACTAGGAGATGCTATTTGAACAAAATTTACACTTCCAAAAATATTCACATATCCCAAAAGTTTCAGGTGTTTTAACTGAAATTAATTCATATTCATGTTGTTAACTCATATTACAATAGCACTTGTTACAGATTATTCTTCACTTTAAAAGTTTCTAGCCATGTGTTGAAAAGATAGCTAAAATTATAACTAGTTTTAGTGGAAACAAAATGGGTGTCTAGCCTCTCTATGCATTGTGCTTGGATCAGCCTTGTATTAAACTTTAGATGTAGTATGAAAACCGCCTATTAATAGGAACTAGCGTTCTGTAACTCTGTATTAAAAAAAGTTTAATTTGGATCTGGTGCAAGCACAGCTCCTATTGAAAACGATAAACTGAAGGTCCTACCACACATCAGCTAAAATCGAGCATAGGAACTTGAACCAGCTTTTTTCATTCTCTGTTGCCATTACTCATATGCATTCAGGGAAGGAGAGCAAAGGCATAAGTTCTTTTTCTAGCCTCACATATCACAGTGAGACTGTTTTTATTGTCTGCTACCTAGAGAGCAGCTGTCTTGAAAACAGTTTAATCCTCTGAAAGTGGGTTTTGGCATTACAAGAGTACTACCTGGGAAGGGGGAAAAAAATGTAGGTTAGTGAAATCTACCTGAAAACTAGAAATGAGTGAGGGATGTTGCACTCTTTTATTTGTCCAGAGTAACAAACTATGTCCATCCCTAGATGATGCTGTCTTGTCGTATATTAATGCTAATTGATTCTGGTTGCACATCTCAAATCGGTCCAGTGTTTCTAGGTCCCACACCCTTGTAAATTGCTTCACATACTTACATTGTGTTTAGGTAAACCCATTTATTTTCTTCTTGCTACTTTGGAAATATTTTTAGTTGTTTTTAAACAATGGGAAGGTTTGTGGAATGCATAGAAGGGTAGCATCAGTATAAGAACAGCCTTGAGAATAGAGAGAAGGGAGAAAAAGGTGTCAGGGATGTATCAGCCGCATAGAGAGGATTAGAAAAGAGATATATCTTAGGTTAGAGAGAAAATAGCAGTCTAGTACTTTTCTTTCAAGGGTGGAGAGAAAAAGAAACAAAAAAGATGTGATCACTGGGTGCTCCATTCACTGTTATGATACATTTCAGGCCTCAAATGACTTCAGTAAGGTTCTTTACTTTAACATGTGAGCAATGTAAAGTGACATAGCTCCTTTGGTTTCAGTGGAGTAATGGTGGTTTACAGCAGCTCAGGACCTGACCCCTGATGAATGGAAAAATGTAAAAATAAAGATATGGATTCCTAGTAGACTGTGGATCAATGATCTTTTCATAGCCAGGTCTATTTGCCAAAGAACAATACTGCTTCTTGCTTAGAATCATAGGAAGATATGACTGAAAATGTCCCTCCAAATTTTACACAGGTGTGCAAGAATCAATTTTTAATGGAATATTCTTTTCTAATCCATGTTCAATTTGAACAGAAAAGTTTTTAATTTACCTATTGCCAAATGTGTCTACACATTTCGCATCAGAATCAGTGGGATATTTGTATATGGGAGGTGAGCAGAATTCTGTCTGATGTTCACTCTTGTCATTACCAATAGTTAACACTAATGGAGGCAGCTCCAGGACAGCATACATATATTATATAAAACTATATATATGTATGGATAACTAAATATATAACAGGGTGTAAATTTAAGCACTCCAAAATTTAGGAAATGCTAGAGGTAAGATTGCCTGTGCCACCTTAATATGCACACCAGTATTTGCTTATGCATATGCATTATGATGTTTAATAATGCATTTAACAATATACTTATTTATTGTTCTGCCTGTTCTAACATTTCCAGTAATTCTTCCTCATGCTGTACTTCATAAGCACCTGTAGGAGAGAAATTGGCAGAGTAGTACTTTTCCTAACTGCCCACTAGAAACTCTAGTGTGAGAAGCCATGCTCGGTAGATTGTGCAAAGGGTTCAAAATATGCATACTCATCTGGACTTGACTGCACAGAAATCTTGATCCATGAAAACTTTTTTTCAACATTTGTTTTATTTCCTTATCTAAATGAAACATAAACCTTCCAATATTTTGAAAAAAAAATTAAACAGAAAGAGGGAGTGAAGTCCATTCATGAAATGTCTAGTGTCTACAGCAGTCACCTGGTATGTGGGAGCCCCAGGTTCTAATCCCTGTCAAGCATAACAGTTGCTTAAATCTGGTTTATTTTAATTTCCAGTGAAGGCCCTGATCACTGGCATTAGCAGAAGTTCACAGGTCACTTACTGTCTTATTTTGACCAGCATTCCACCCTGAATCTGAAAATCCTTGCTGACAAAAGTGTTGTCAAAGCCAACACATTTGTGTTGAAAAGATTTTTAGGTTTTGATAAGCTGACATTTTCTGACACACAATATTTTGTTAAAAAATTCCTGACTACCCCTGGTTACAGATAGTCTGCAGACTCGGACCAGCAGGACTTCTACTTCAGCTTGAAAATTTGAATCAAGCTTTCTTCACATCTATAGCTATTGGGGAATTTTTGAGCTAAACACCTTTAATCCAACCCAACTTTTTTTGCAGAAATATGCCAGCTTCAAAGGAAGTTTTGTTAGGAACATTTCTCAGGTCCAGGATGTAGTTATGCTTAGAATCAAAAACAGTACATCCAGAGGTGGTTGAGACTGGTGGAGAGGCTACCAGAAAGGAGGGAAGTTCTCCTTGATTTGCTGCTTGCAATCAGGAAGGAATTGATTGAGAATGTTAAGGTGAAAGGTGTCTTGGGTGATAGTGACCATGAAATGCTAGAGTTGAAGATCCTAAGGAAAGGAAGGTGAATACCAGAATGAAGACACTGAACTACACAAAAGCTGAGCTTATTAAACTCAGGAAACTGGTGGGAAACGTCTCCTGGGAGGCAATTCTGAGGAGGTGAAAGGAGTGCAGGGGAGTTGGCTCTACCTTAAGAAAGCCATATTAAGGGTGCAAAAGCAGGGTATCCCTATGTGATGAGAAAATGAGAAGTGTGACAGGACCCCAACTTGGCTAAGCAGTGAACTTTTCAATGAGTTGAAATTTTAAAAAAAAATCTTATGAAAAGTGACAATTCGGCCATATTACTATGACCAAGGGTACTGCACAGGCATACAGGATGAAAATCAGGAAGAGCAAGGCACAATTTAAAATGCAACTAGTAAGGGACATAAAACACAACAAAAAAAGTACTCTACAAGTATGTCAGAAATAAGAGGAAGGTCAAACATTCCATATGGGAGCTAGAAAACAATCTAGTAATGGATGATGTAGAGAAGCTGGAAGTATTTAATGCCATTTTTTACTTCAGTCTTCACAAATAAATTCAGCTACAAGATGACCAATGCAGTATGCAAGCAAGGATTGGGGAGGAGATAGGCAGTCTAAAGTAGTGGAAGAACAAGTTAGGGATTACTTAAACAAGCAGAATGTTTTCAATTTAGCAGAGACGGATGGGGTACATCCTAAAGTATCGAAGGAAGTGTCTAAGGTAGTTTCATTACCATTGGCCATCATCTTTGAGAATTTGTAGTGGTAAGGTGAGGTCCCAGATGACTGGAACAAGGGTAATATAGTGCCCATCTTTAAGAAGAGGAAGAAGGAGCATCAAGGGAATTAGAAAACCAGTCAGTTTGACATCAAATCCTAGAAAGATTATGGAATAAGTCATCAAGGAATCTTCTAAGTACCTGGAAGAGAAAAAGGTAGTCGGGAACAACCAATTCATTTAACAATAAATAGATTCATCAAGAGCAAGTCATACCTGATCAACTTGATTGGCTTCTATGACAAGGTGACTGGCCCAGTGGATAAAGGAAGAGCAGTAGATGTGATATTACCCCAGTTTTAGCAAGGTATTTGACACAGTCTCTCATGACATTTTCAATAGTAAGCTAAGGTAATACAAAGTACTGTAAGATGGATACATAACTGGACCATTGTGCACAATGAATAGTCACCAGTGGCTTGATATGTCTAGTTTGGAGGAGGTATCAAGTGGGATTCCTCAAGAGTCTGTCCTGGGCCCAGTAGTGCTTAATATCTTCATTAATTTGGGCAACAGTACTGAATGCACACTTAGCAAATATCTAGGTGATGCTAAGTTAGGTGGAATTACAGACACTCTAGAAGATAGGGCTAGGATCCACAATGACATGAGTAAAATGGAGAAATGGTCTAAAATTGATCAAATGAAATTCAAGTAGCATAGGCGCAAACGCCTGCACTTAGGACAAAACAGTTGCATACACAAATACAGACTAGGGACAACTAACTAGGCTTCAGTATTGCAGAAAAGGACCTGGGGTTACAGTGAGCCGTACATGAAATGTGAACCAATAGAGTGCTTTACTTGCCAATAGCATGCTGCACTGTACTAATAAGAACGTCACTTGCTAATCAAGGGAAGAGATTCTCCTATTTTATTCAGCACTGGTGAGGCCTTACCTGGAGTACTGTGCCCAGTTTTGGGCCCATCCCTTTGAGAAAGATGTAGACAACTTAGAAACAGGCCAATGAAGTTTGACAAAACTGATTACAGGTCTGGGAAACATGATTTATGAGGAAAGGCTGAAAGAACTATAGTTATTTATTCTGGAGAACAGGAGACTGAGAGGGGATTTGGTAAGTCTTAATTTGCAACAAGGGAATATATTAAGGTAAGACATTAATAAGAACTTTTTTACTATGGTGGAGGTTAAGCATTGCAACAGGCTACTCATAATTGTTGTGGAATCCCCTCCTTGGAAATTTGTAAAAGGAGTTTAGACAAGCATTTGACTGGGATGGTTTAGACAAGGACAATCCTGTCTTGAGCAGGGGTTGGATTAGATGACCTCCT